TTCTTAAAGCTCTGGGGAGGAGTACCAATTCTGCCCGACAGTGTCCCGTTAGCACGGTATTATTACTTTTGTCTTTACTTTTTTCCAAAACATCAGCATCCACCATAGCCTGGGAACACTGTCCACATCTCCATCCACCTCTTGCCTCTACGGAATATTTCACCATTGACGCAAAACGGTGGAGGCATCCCATCATCCCATCATCATTTCACACCCTCCAACTGGTATCTGAAGATCGAAAGTGGATCTTTATCAGTGCAGAGCACCGGTGCTGCCTGCCCCGGTGCGGCGAGCTCAGCCCCTCCGGTGACCGCAGCCGGTGACCGAGGCCGGCCCAGCCCACCCTACCGGGGGCTCAGGCAGCAACCGGGAGCAAGCAGCAGTAAACTGAGCAGAAGAAGGGATGTTCCCAGGAACATTATTACGATGAAAATAAAGTCTCCTGAAACTGAAGGGATTTAAAAAAAAAAAATCTCATGATTTTTTTTTTGTGATTTTTTCTTTTTTTTTTTTTTTTGCTGTTAGAACTGTCTCTGCCAAGTTGTGAAACTTGTTGGTTCAGTTCTAAATCAGGGTCCAGGATCTGTGAGCAGAAGTCGAGGGGTAGGAAATGGGGAAGTAGTGGTGGTGGGAGAAAAATTATATATATATGGGTTTATATACACATATATATATATATAGGTGCTTGATTAGTTAAGTGCCTATATATATATATACACATATATTTATAGCTGGGTGTACTGGTACTTGATAGGTCAATCCAACACATCTTTTACCATCACAGCATTTTGGCATCCACAGACTGGCTGAACAAACCTGACGGAGTGAAGGTGCTGGCCTACACCTTGTGTGCGTTGGCACAGGAGCCAGATCTGAAGCCCATCCTCTCCCACTTCCCAATGGTTTAAAGTATCTCATTTAACAAAATCAGGAGTCTTGAAATGATTAAAGGATGTTCAACAAGGCAATTTTTTTTCTGTTTTGTTTCGTTCTGAAAAAAATATAATATATAAAAGTGGCCAACCTCAGGAAGATCCAGGAAAAGGACAGCTGAAGAGGTTTTGGTCCATAAAGAAATACTTTTTCTTCTTTTTTTGTTTTTTTTTCCCCCCACTTGGCTTGGGTAACAAAAGTTTTGGTCCAGTTTAAAAACAACAACAACAAAATTATCTCTATAAACTCGGGGTTTTTTGCTCTCTGTTGGGATGCATGTTGGTTTCATATGGGCTCATTGCCTGTATTGCATGATCGTCTCTCTTAGGTTTTGGTGCAATAGGTATATTTTTTAAGAAAAGAAAAGCACAACGTGGTGTGTGTGGGTGTGTGTGTGTGCATGGTGCGTGTAGCTGCAGCTGGCATCACTTGGAGAAAAGGATGAAGAGTGACCTACGGAAACATGGAAGTCGATGCACTCCCCCCATGGCTGGGAACTCGGGACTGCTTTGGAAATACCCTGTTAGTGACTCCTGATTCGGCTGATGAACAAATCCCTGCTCGGATAAGGAAAAAAGAACAAAGTTCCAGACTCCACGGTGGCTCAGAATAACAAAATAAATGCTCGTCGCCTGGTGTGATCCCAATAGGTTCTTCCAAACCTTCTTCAGTTTCACCGGCGTCGTTTTTATTTCTTCACCTTCTTTTTTTCATTTTCTTTTTTTTGTGGTTTTTTGTTTGGTTTTTTTTTTTAAAAAAAGGAAAACAATAAAAGTTCTTTAGCTGTTGATTTTTTTTGTTTAAATCTTTGAGGTAATACAGTTGTGCCCTCATTCTAACAGGTTCCCAGAGGTTGATGTTTTCTTTCTTGTTCTTCTAACTCCCCATCATCCGTTTTCCTTTCTTTCTGTTTGTTTCTTTCCGAGTTCCCAGTTGGGCTGACATCCCTGGGGGGGAGGAGAGTGGGGGCTTCAGGCCAAGACAAAGGTTGAACATGGCTGGAGAAAGGCTGGCAGGGCCCTCCCCGTGCCCCTGCTCCCTTCCTGGCCGATCCAGGTGGCCTGGCTTGGTCATCGCTGAGAAGTCCCAATCTCACCACCAAAAAAAACTGAACTAAACCGCTTTGCTTGCAAGATCCGAGTGTGCGTTCAGAGTACTTGGTTTACAAAAGACATTGCAGGCTGGAGCATTGTTCGCCCTTCAAAATTTCTGGCTTTGCTATTCATTTTAATTTTATTATTCACTTATTCTTTTTTAAAAAATAACATACATTGCTTGTAAAATAATTTCTTTCTTTTTCTTCTTCTTCTTCTTTAAATTAATTTATTCTTTCATTCATTTGTTTGTTCTTCAGATGTCATTATTATTATTATTATTATCATTATTATTATTATTATTATCATCAGCATTTTTCGTGGACCCCCCCCACGCTCCTTCCTACCCCCCACCCCCCAGTGCCCTGCTCTGTCTTCTTTAGGAAAATATTCTAATGCCTGAGTGGCTGCTGCGTGGCAAACCGGGCACTCCGGATCAGTCCTCTCGCAGATCCTCACGGCACACTCATGCAGAAGAGGTTGTGGCCGCACGGCACCAGCGCAGCTGTGACCTCGCTTTCGAAGCACACCATGCACTCGCGGCTGCTGGCAACGGATGTCCGGGCAGCGGCCGGCGTTCCCAGCTTGGAAAACCCCTGGAGCGGCTCCCCCTGCGACCTCCTGGGCAGCCCAGAGAGGCTGGGCTCTGGGATGGAGGAGGACGGGGAGCGGTGGGAGTTGGGGTGGATGGTGCCAGTGCTGCTGGAGCGCTGCTGCTTCGAGAAGAGCACCGAGACAGGGTTGGTGTTCTCCTGGCCAGCCCACATCGGGGCCCCCGACTCCGGCACCCCGTAGTACAGATCCTGCTTGTTCACGCCGTAGTTGGGGAAGAGGTAACCGTAATTGAAGTCATTTTGGTCATTCAGCCGGGGGGTCTCGTAGACAGGGTCAACGGAGCAGTCGCCGATGCAGCCCAGGCTGTTCTGCCGGAAGGTGGAGAGGGGCTTGCAGCCCGGCGCTGGCGTGTGGACCCGCCAGGCCTCCGAGTAGCGGTTCTCCATGCCAGAGTCAGGGCTGCTAGAGAGGAAGTCGTTCTCGTTGTTGTACTCCAGGATCTTGCCCGTCCTCACCGCAATGTGGGTCTCGATCTCCTCCCGGGCGCGCTCCACGTTGCCTGGCGCACCAGTGATCTCGAAAACGGGATCCCGGTCCCGGCTGGGCGTGATGATGTAGGTGTTGGTCTGCTGCTGGATCCGCTTGATGGTGGCTCCCTTGGGGCCCACCACCAGCCCCACCACGCGGTAGGGCACACGCACCCGGATGGTGACCTGCCCCGGCAGGGTGGGCGCACTGCCGAAGGTGGTGCCTGCCTTGTTGCGGGAGGCCCTGATCATGGAGAAGTGCTCGGCCGCAGAGATGATCTCCCGCCGGGCCATGGCCACATCCTCCCGCCGCCCCGTCACCATGAAGACTGGCTCCTCGCCCCGCACCGGGGTCTTGATGTAGGTGTTGGTCTTCGCCCGCAGGGCTTTGATCTTGCAGCCTTGGGAAGAGAGAGAAGAAGGCACGGCAGTTAGCAAGGCCATCCCACCGCCTTCCCTGCTCTGCAGGACACTGGGCTGAGCAGCCATGATCTCCTGTGCCACATGGCAGCTGCTGCCCAGGAACGAGGGAAAGACCCTTTCCCCTTAACCCTGACAGGGACATGCTGCCAGAGGGAGGTCCACCCTCACCATGCCCAGAGAGTCCCTCCCTCAGGAGCGCCACACTCCCTCATCCCCCAAAATGGGAGTCACCATTTTGTGCGCTGCCCTGCATCACACGATCCCACCTCAACTGCCTCCCCTCAGAGATCATCCCCTGAGATCTCCCTTCCACACACCCCAACACCAATGAGTCACAGGGGGATGGATCCAAGCCACCCGCAGGGGCCAACAGTCTCCATGAAGAGGCCTGTCCCCAGAGCCCTCAGATGGCCCCTCAGAGAAGATGGCCACCTGGGGCTCTGGGGACAGGGCTGAAGTGTAGGGCAGCCAGAGGTGACAGGAGAGAGCAGGGGGACACTAATCCCACAGCCTGGGCAGTAGATGTGGTGCCCCTGGGCCACCCTGTGCCAGCTCATGGAGGGAGTCACCAGCCATGACTCCAGAGAGCAGAGCCCTCCATGGGGACATCTGAACTACTGAGGAGGTTTTGGGGTGAATCCAGTGAATTTCAGGGGGCCAAGTTTGGAGGGGAGTTGCAAGAGATGCAGCAATTTGGCCACCCCACCTCAAATATGACAGGACCCCAAACACTGGCAGTACTAGATGGCTGGGGGTAGCAGGACACCAGGATTTGCTTCGGGGTCAAAACAGCAAGAAATGGGGCAGGGCTGCCCTCCTATGAGCCCCACAGCAGGCTGTGCACAGATCCCTGCTCTAGGCACTCAGGCCCTCTTCTGAGATCACTGGCCAAGCCTGTGCTTTCGTGTACCAGTATCCACCTCCTGGAGACCAGCAAGCCCATTCCCCATCTCCCAGAGCCCACCGAGTCCATTCTCTTGCTGCTAGGGCCCACTGAGCCCCTTCTCCCAGCTCCAAGAGCTCACCAAGCCCATTCCCCAGCTCCTCACAGTTCAGAAAACAGTCTTCTGCCTTCCCAGAAAGGGCAAAAGACTTTCCAGTGTGTTTTGGCTTCCAAATGGTATTTTGGAGTGTCTCAAGCCAGCTGTGTGACTCCAGGTTCTGAGACAACACCGGGATGCCATCAAGCAACGAAATATTTTTACAGATGTGGCACAGTTCTCTAAACTACTCCTGGATGTTTCCTTGCTGCTGTCCTGCCCCTCGAACCCCTCTCTCCAAAACCTCATTCAAGTGCCCAAGGCATTTCCAAAGCCTGACTCCAAATTCCTGTGCAAAATAGGGGTTCCTCTGCGGGAGGTTTGCTCTAAGCTCAGATCTCCAAGAAAAAATTAAAATCCGTGATTCTCCAGGGCGCTGCATCTTCACCAGCGCAGATGGAGCAAGGTGAGCACTTTGCCCTGGTTTCCCAAGGATTTGGGTGTCTGACTCAGGCTCATGGAACCAGAGGATGAGGACGTAGCATTGGGACCTCTGTGAGATCCCCCAGCTACTCCCACCCCACCTTCTCTCCCCTGAAGAGCCCATCTCTTGTCCTCTCTGACCATCTGAGACCAGCAGGTTTTCCCCAACTGCGCTCCACTGACATCACACTTTAACACACGATGACCTGCAAACAATGCCTCTGCAACCACGAGATGCAGATTTCTCAGCTCGCGGGCTGGAACATCATTATTTATACAGATCCTAGTAAATAACAGCACCTCCCCAGCTGGGAGTTCAAGGGCTGCCACTCAGTGCTGCCACTTATCCACAGCTCGCCTCGTGAGACATGGGCTGGTGACACCGGGGTGCTCACCGGAACGCAGCTATCCCACCACTCCGTGTGGTTGGCAAGGATCGAACTCGGGCACCTGTGGCGATGGAAACAGCCCCGTGCCACTACAGCTGACAGGAACTCCCCGTGCTCGCAGACGCTGCAGACGCTGCAACCAGCGGTGCCCCAGCACGGAGCGCGCTCAGCCCAGCCGGCTGTGCCCACACCAGCACCGCGCAGGCACCGGGCACAGCCCCGGCGAACTGCAGACATCGGCACGCACAGAGCCCTCCCGGTGCAGCTGTGAACCCCATCGCCCATCCGAGGGTCTTGGCAGCGCCGCGGGACACGTGCCGGCAAATCCGGACTCCGCTATCGACTCACAGCACGACTTTTAACTCCTCAGAGCTACTTCAGCTCCCAGAGCCTCACTCCCCCATTTGTGGAGTGGGGAGAATAGCTGCCTCCTGCCTTGGGATCCCACAAAACTTCCTCTAACACTCCACATCACAGTGCTGCTGCGCTAAACCCATCTCTGAGCCATGAATTCCATGTTCCTGGGGAATGGAAATGCCAGATCTGACACAGAGAAAGAGCTGGGCAAACCCTCAAATCCAAACCAAATCCACCCCTTGCCAAATCAAGCGTAGCTCACAGGTTACTCCCCAGTTTGCACCCTGAGGTAGGTTTGAGATGCTTTGTTGCGTAAAGTTTCCAAATGGCCCATGTGGACTGATGGTCACCCCATGGTGTGTTATTAGCACCCAGGAAACCCAAAGGACAGGACCTCATGGAGCCAGGCACGACTCGACTGTAGGATAAATCCACGCAGACAAAATCCAGAACAAAGGTTCATCCCAAGGAGGGTGGGATAAAACTCTGAGGGGTCACCTGTGCCCTCTAGCAGGCCCTGGGCAGGGTGGGCTCCTCCTGACCCACCCCTGGTAGACATTTCCCTGCCCTGCTACTGTGCCGCTCGCTCCAAAGATGGAGATTCCATCTTAGGAAGATTAACCGAGATGCCACCATTTCCCCAGGGATATCACCGAAGCGTCACATGGAAAGACAGGGGGGTGTTCACGGCAAGCATCGAGCTGCAAACGCCTCCCATGCATCACCCCAGGGTGAAGCAGCTCTGCCAAATTCCGTGGTGACCCGCGCCCTGCCTCTGGAGCGCAAGGCTCACTCTCCTGAGCAGAAGGATCTCAGGCAGGCATGTGGCAGGGCTGGGCTTGGGCTCCGCGTTGTTCTGAGCTGCGGGACAATGACGGCGTGTGGGGGAGAGGGATCTGAGCCCGGCACGACAGGAAACAATCACAGAGGCGACACGGAGGGTCAGGCAGGCAGAGCGGTGACAAAGGATGGGGGCTCCATGCTGGGGACAGATGGAAGGGAACGGTGGCAAGGAATACACATGAATAAGAGCAAATGTAAGTGTGGTACATGAGCTGGAGGGGTGGGAGGGAGTTAGGGATGGAGGAAAGGTGACAGAAATTGAGGGAGAGGCATACCCTGATCCCTCCAAGGGAGGAGGAGAATAAGAGGTGTGGAAGCAAAGCAGAGACACCCCAAAACAGCAGAAGGAAGATGGGCAAGGAGAGAGCACGGCAAGAGGGAGGGGAGGGAGGATCTGGAACGGACAAAAGGACGCGTGGTGCAGTCGGCTGTGTGGGAAGGGGGGGAGGAGGGAGGGTCTCCATGCAGGCCTGCAGACAGGAAAGCCAGCTTTGTGGAGACAGACAGATGGGGATCCTGTGCTTAAAAATGGGAGAAAATTACCCCGCAGGAAATTAGACCAACTCTGGCAAGCCCAGCAGCCCAGTGGGTTCAGCGGCCCAGACCTCCAGCAGCTCCAAACTGGTGCAGACAATGGCCAAGCCATCAGCAGCCCAAATCCAAAGAACTCCACAACTTCCAGGAGTGCTGTGCTGGTTTACATCAGCTAAAACCAGGCTGTGCTTAAACCTGATTTAACGCCTTTGTGCCAAGGCTCCTGGCTCACCTCAGCCCCAACCCTCTGACCCTGCTTTGCACACTAAACAGGGGCTGATGCTCCTTTGAGATCGCCCTGTTTCTGATGGAGCCAGATCAGGATGTGGCCCGTGACACCCCAGCTGGATGAGCAGCACAGCCCAATGTGCTCATTCCAAATGAAATTTGTCCTGTATGGGGGTGGTTTTTTTAACACTTTCTTTGTGTGTAACTGAAATTTGAAAACACCATGCAACAAAGCACTTTACTTGGTGGGTAATTCAAAGGAGAGGGAGGTTGAGGGAGGGAATTGTTTAGCAGGTGATGTCAAAATGTGAAACTAAGGGGAGTGAAGGACCCGTCGAAGCTGTACTAACACGTAACTTTGTGTATGCTCTCCTCATTACAGCAGTGCGCACACACCAGCGCGTCGATCCCTGGCACGCTCCTGCCACTTAGATTTTTATATTAAATAGGGAATTAAGCCCTTTCTCATTGAGTTTCCACGACCTACCTTCTATTATCCTGGTTTTTGCCAATAATGTGGATTCCAAAGCATTTTACAAAGGAGGTTGTAAGCTCAGTTCCTCTCCACACCCCTTTTTCTCTTTAATTTCACTGATTGCCAATTGACTCAAAGTAAATGTTTTTGCAAATTACCTGAGCACACCACAAACATTCCCACACAGGACCAAACCCTGGAGGACTGGCGAGCCTCTGGTGCCCAGACCAGTCAGCTAACTGGAATTAATCCGCAGAACAGCCAGCTCTGGCTGAAAACATATAAATAAATTGAGTCTAGACATTGCCAAGATGGGGGGCGGGGATCAGGGGGAGATTTGGATGCACAGCCACCTCCTCCTCTCTGCTTAGCCCTGCATCAGGGCAACAAATCCATCAAAACTACCAGAGAAGGCTCCAGGAGCTTGCTGCACCTCTCCAGTAAGGCGGCTGTTCTCGAGGGCAGCGAGGGTGCCGGATGCACCAGATCTGTTTCCTTGGCATGAGCCCCTCCCAAATGTTCTCTCTCTGAGCAGCCCAAAACCAACGTGTTTCCATGGGACCTCACTGGGGTTCACACCAACGCTCCCAGTAGCAGGAAAACACCGGAGCAGTGCACGGGATGGACGTGCCCACCACACCACAC